AGCTCAATTGGAAGCGGTGATACAATGATATGGCGTCTTTTCTTGTGGTTTTGTATTTTAAATAACTGAAATGGTAAAAAAAAACAAACAACGCTTTTGATGGAAAGTGGTAACCGCTGCCTAAAACTATGAACAACTCTCAGGACACCACAAAATACATGGTTTTTATCTTACCAGCGAAATCACGAGAGAATATACAATTCCATATTCAAAATTAATATAGGACCAACGTGGGAGTAAATCCAATCGGTTATCATATCAGTCCACTGCTGAACATAAGCCTTTCTCATAAACGGTGTTTTGCCAGTAATTGTTACTCCTGGTAGACGGATTGACAACCGGAGTTAGGCTTTTAGTGATGTTTTAAGAGGGACACTGTTGCCCATCCCTTTACTATTAAATTACCTTAGTTGTCTCTTACGACACTCACGAGAAAGGAATGGGTGGCTTATTTTATATCGGAACCATACGCCGACCTTATCGATTACAGAATAAATAATTAAAATTTATTTGGAATTGACGAAGATATTATTAATATAATGTATAAAAAAATACAGGTGAATATAGAAGCTTGGAATTTGCTCTTCATGAAATTGCTTAAAAAGGATAAATAATTCAAAGTAGTTTAAATTTCTGTTACTCGCCGTCTCGCCGCTTATTACCAGACAGTATATAATGAAAATTATATGTAAGTGTTGTTACTCATACTAGTGGTAAATTAAGGTGCCATTAGCAAGTTTCCTAACGAGACTTAAGCTGCTTACAATGCCAGACTACTGTAACTTAGACGGCGTACCTATAGTTGGTACATTACCAGTGCGGCGAATTTGGTACGTACACAAACATATATATTTATAGTTTTATTATAATAGTAATTTTAGTAATATCTTATATTTTATGAACAATATATTCATATTTTAGATTATATAGATAGAGCATTGAGACTCAAAAGCGAGTCGACTTTTTGTCAACTAATTGTCAAATTAGCTGATTAGTTTTTAATCAGTATTCTATATATTTACGCATAAATTATAGCTTGATGTATTATTTATAAAATAAAATAAGTGTTTACGCTTTAAAAAGATGCAAAAATTATAAGACAAAATAAATTCAGAAGTTATAAAGAAATCACTCATAACTATTTATCACGTAAAATTTTACCCGTTTTTTTTCAAAGCATTTCTATGGAGATACTCTATTTATATAATCTAAGATTCATATTTAGTAATTTATAATAGACTGCTGGGTTATTTTATGTAAAGGAAGTTTCTGGTTCAATTTTCAGTCGAGTCAATTTAGGAAAACTACTTCCCAAAACTAATTCGGATCTAATCTGGATTGTACGTCTGGATGTTTGTTCATTGGTCAATTTCTTTTAGAATAAGATATTGCAACTTAAGGATCATACAGCTGTTTGATTTTACAGTAGCGGCACTTATATTTATTATAACAAACAACAAATTTATTTTGTTAAGTATGCTCGTATTCAAACAAAAACAAGAACTTTTAAAATTCAACTTTTGTTTCAAAAGAACAGCAGTCGAATTTATGCCTATTTTTTTAAGGCAGAAAATGTTCTCCGAATTTTGCGGTTGGTTTTCGTTATGATTGATTCGAATTAGTTGTTTCCCCAATTTTGTTTCTTGTGACAAATTAGAGAATATTTATTTTGTTTGTAAAGCAGGATCATTTATTTATTATTTGATTTTAAATGTTTCTTTTGACTTTCAAAGTGCACTTAGAGCCTTGTTTACTAAGCGAGTTCACTTACTCATTAGTACAAACAAACCTCTTCTCAGTCAGTCAGTTATTAACAGACTATTTAGTTGCAATCTTTATTTCTATTTGTATTATCATTGCAAAAAAAAAAAAACATTAATCGTCATTTTATAATCGAACCCACGACCATTGGAAGTTGAATTAATATGTTAAACCACTATACCACCAAGGTTGTTGGATAAAGAATTAATGTTGTTTGTATAATCTGGTTATAAAGACATCAGTATAAATAATATTTAATTCGGTATGTATTAATAATAGTTACATCGAAAATATAGTAATCTCAGCAAACAATAGTAAAATAGTAGAATGACAGCTGCCAGAAAAGTTTCAAATTGGCTGCTCTCGTTTCGTAACTTGAGCATGTCATTTTCTCGGGTGAAAATATTAATCAACCGTAACAGAGCCGTATGACATACGTTTATTATTAATTAAGAAACGTGCTAAACGAATGTCGGGTCATTACTGACGTAGAGCCCCATAACTCACATTTTATGACTTGATGTAGATACACCAATATATGTATGTACATTTATGTAGATACATAGATGTATCTATATTTAATTAAATTACATTAAATACTATTAGACTTTACATAGCGTCATCTAATCCCAAACTGACCATATTTTGGATACTGGATAACCGATAGACATATACTTTTTTGTAAATAGATAAATGTGTCTCTTACTGTAAAAACCCGAATTATGGTAAATTTAATTTTTTTTATGTTTTCTTCAGAAACGTGCTAAATGTATAAAATGGACGTAATATTTAGACATGTTAGGTTTGTAATGTCTGTTTGGTTTGATGAAAGCTCCAAATTCTTTTTTTAATAAAAATACTTACATTTAAAGAGTCATTATGATAAATCCTAAGATGTACTAGTAAAATCTAAGATTATATATGCAAATTATTTGTAAAAAAAATATCTAAATAATAGTATAATCCTTATCAAAACCCATTTCTAGGTTTAGACGCGGATTTTGGTAGCAACTTTGTCAAAATAATTGATTAACTGACAACCGAAAATGCTGCGTTTAGAAATGTAGTTAGTACATATACACTTTTATAGAAATGAGTGTAATAAGCCGAAATTTAATTATTTACTCAATAAATATTCATCCTCTCCAATTTTTTTACTTTTAATAATACATCGATTATATTGAAGGTTTAAAAAAAAAAAAGTAGAAAGAAAAAAAGAACAGAAAAATATGATAAAATATTTTTTTACATTCTTTAAGGTAAGTTAGGGCAAATTGGTTAGTTCCATGTAAACTATTCCTGGAGTTCAGTTAGTCATATTCATAGTGCTATTCTCTAAGTCAAACCCAAATTTAACTGGTAGATTGGTGAGTAAATTTGGTTTTCTGTAAACAAATAAAATAAAATAAAAATAGTTAAGGTGCCGACGTAGTGGATTAAGGTAAATGTGCTACTATTCTCAGGTACTCGCTTTATTTTTAAAATTCATTTCACTGCACATGACATTACTAAAGAGAAATTATTTGTATAAATGAAGTACGACTCTTTACAGAGTAGCTTAGCATAGGAACTAGTGCAAAGGCTGCGAGGTAGCTCCTATAGTATCGAGAATATAATTTTGAATAGTTTGGGCTGCTTTTAAATACTATGCAATATACTCGTAGCATTTACAAAAATATTTATTTACCAATTAATTTGTACAAAAAAATATTTTTCTATCGATTTGCCATTTTCATTGCATTTGGCCGCAGTTGGCAACGGCGGAAAGTGTTGAACGCAACAAATATGTCACTGTCCACGATTGGGAACACCTGCTGCCCCCTCCCCTGGTTTCTTCTTTCCCCCCGAGAACTTTCCACCTACAACCCCTGTTTAAAACTTTGCCCATTTACATTTTATGATGTGCGTTTCACTGGAAATACTAATATAAAGTAGTTTTATGATTAAAGTTACGACATGTATAATAATAATACGTGCGCTTATCTCGTGGTAGAATTCGATAAGAATAACATTGTATGTTGTATTGTATGAAAAAAAAAATTAAATAAGGTTGTCGTTAAAGTGTATGTTACGGCCTCCAATGTACATAAATGACGGTGAAAAATGATGGATTATGATTTTTAATATAATCTATTATTTATTATTATAGAATGCTGGTATAAAAAAGTCTGTTTTATTTTTGTTATTTATGCATCTATATCAATGATATTAAAGAGGTGAAATATGTTTGTTTTTTACATTTTTGTTTATAAAAATAACTGGTGTATATTATTTGCGTATTTGTAAATTTAGACACATAGTTATATTTCTATTTTGCTGAAATAAAATATACACTGGCCCTATTTTTTTAGCCTACTATAAGATACAATATTAATACATCAATACCAATATTATAAAAAGATTTGATTGTTTATTTGTTTGTTTGTAATGGATAACCTTAAAAATTTTCAACAGATTTTAATAATCCTTTCATCTATAGGAAGCTACATTATCAGTAAATAATATTTTTTTTTAATAGAGATTCCTATGAAAATTATAATTGTATATCCCAAGATATCAAACATTTGCCTATCAAAGCTTATATAAAATACTAATTAAAAATTAAAAGGCGAATCGTTTGTAAATCATAATTTTATCATATAAAAATATTTAAGTTAATCTGAATTTCCCATCTTAATGCTCGTCCAAATTATACGAGTCTCCAATGTTTGACATTCCAAGACATTGTACTTGAATTAAAAGATGCCATGAGCAAATTCATGAGGTGATTGATTTAAACGTTCTCCACCTGTTTTCTATTATACTTACGTCAATTTCAACTGTTCAAATGTAACAAGAGCTTAAACTATAATTAACTATTTTTCAAACGTCATTTATAAAAGTGTAGGTTTATTTGCTGTGTAATAAACACTCCATTAGGACTTAATACTGATGTTTATTGTAGGTTTCGTTCCATACACATTGTATAATTTAATGGGCCATATCTTATATACATTGACGTATCATAAATCTTATGGTGAGAGAGAGGAAATCATTAGGACCGTTTCGTGTACATTGTTGTGACAATAATTTTCCACGTTCCGTACATGTGTGTACCTAAAACAGTATTTTATTATTGCCGTTTGTTAAATGAAAAACGCGCGACAATGGTCGTGGCATTGGTCCAGCTCCGCCACTTTTCAGATTTATGGGTTAATAAATTCTTAAATGCTTATTAATTAATTTAGTTTCGCATTTGGCGGATCCGAGTGGAACACACCACGGGTGGACATCCGGCAACTGTACAGAACGTGTAGTGACCTTAACAGCGACTGTTAAATACAATTCGCAAAGCCCAGAAATAGTGACTCGCTGGACGGGACTAGAACCTGAATCCCCATACATCCGAGCCAATCTGGGTGACATCGGTGCGCGATTGCGATTAGTCGCTCATTCGACTCAGATAAAGGGACTCGTATTCCTCATTCTTTGGTTCTCGATCGCTTACAATATCGCACAGTATCTTTGAATTAACAACAGTTTAGTTAAAAATGGTGAGCGAATTGATATATAGTGAGATATCCGATTAATTTTATTATTTTTAAAATTTGTTTTTCATTTAATTAGTGAATTTAAAAAAGTGTACGAAGTGGCATGAAGTTTTATTTTATTTCTGTTATTATGTATGAATATGTGTTTTTAATATTATTGGTGGTATTTTCAGGAGGAACTAGACAAAGAACAAATTGCTAGTAAGTATACAGTTATATTATATAATTGTGAATACTCATACAATGTCATAGAATATTTATTCCCTAATTTGGTTAAACCAATAGATAGGTTGTCCCTATCTATTGGTTAGATGAGGTATTAATATAAAATTGACATTTATTATTGTTTTTCAATGTAAATTTTAAATTATCCATAAATATCTACTATTACATATTGTTAGGTTGAAATATGATGATAGTTCAAGTTTAGAAATTGTTTAGAAATATTATTCAAATATTAAAATCATATTCCTATAATTGTTGAATGAATGTAAAATTTCGAAGCAGTTTCAAGATTCCAATTAAAATTTATGAAAAATCATTGGAATATATTTGAATGGCAATATATTTGAATTGTCATCGAATATACATTAAATATTTGAAAATAGTTACTTAATATTCAGAGTACTTACATGTATTTATAGAAAAAAAATATTTTCAGTCCTGAGGAAAGCTTTTGAAGCTTTCGATCATGAGAAAAAGGGCTGTATTGGCACCGTGATGGTGGGCACCATCCTCGGCATGTTGGGTCACCAGGTCACTGATGACACTCTAAAGGAAATTATTGAAGAAGTAGACGAGGATGGTTCGTATTTCTACTTATATTTAGCTATAGTATAATATACAATATCTTAAATCTCAAAATATTTTTTGGCATTTTTAAAATAATGAAAGGATGAGCAAGTTTTGATGATCATAAAAATAATAAATGAAAGTAATAAGAAATTGGAACACTTTAATTAATCGATTAATTGATTGTTTATTTTTTTACAAAATGCCATTTGATCGAGTATTTTATTCGTTTGTTTACATTTTTATTAACTTCTATTGAAGGAGACAATAACACTATTATTCATTCAAAAGCTTTTATCTTTTAGACTGCGATATTTTTTTATTTTATTCGACATTTTGGATATTTAGCATTGTATTTTAACATCACTCGTATATGAACTCGTAACATTTCTTTCGAGAATCACTTTTTAAATACTAAACTAATTTTATATTATTTAAATGTTGCAATTATGGTTACTGTGTAACGTGTAATTGTGTTTTTTATTTATATATATTTAAATAATCTTTATTAATTACACATTATAAACATAGAACATCACAATAATCTATTATAAATTATTTTTATTAAATATATTCCATAATTATAAACGGTAGAGCTACAGCCAGTATTTATTTAATAAAATTTCATTTACATTATTTATGTTTAAATAGACTATTATTGTACAATGTAATCGTTTGTGTATTAGGTATAAAATCAATATTAATAACTTTCTATGACGTGTTAATTGACTATTCTAACGTCTCCTACAATTACAGATACAGATAATTGTCGACACTCTTAATTGATTATATTAATTTTCATATAAATATTACAATAAAAAAACTTAACATGAATAAAATATGAAAGTGTGTGAAAATGTTCTAAAGTGTTACTCAATAATGTTTATGTGGTTAAATGGATTTCAATAAAAAATTATAAATAAATATCACATATTCATAATATATATTATCTAATACACGTACGATACTTTTATTATAATTCACATAGTTAGATCACAAGTCGTAGCTAGTTGTATATTATTATATAATAATTGGATCAGATGTATGTACACATCTTTTACAGTTTATTTTAGTCTATAAATATAAATATTATGTTAGACGAAATACGTTACGTACATTGTAATATATTGTATATGCTGCGGTTAATATATTAGATAGGTATACTTGTATCACAGTCAAGAATAGTTTTTAAAGGTATTTATATATCGAACAGGTTCAGGAGAATTGGAGTTTGAGGAATTCGTTACGTTAGCTTCAAGGTTTATGGTTGAGGAAGATGCTGAAGCTATGCAACAGGAACTCAAAGAGGCATTCCGGTTATATGATAAAGAAGGTATACCTGATAATGTCATTACTAATATATATATATATATATATATATATATATATATATATATATATATATATATATATATATAATTCATGATTTCAGCAGTTCCTAGTATTATTGACAAAAACATCGTTAAGAAACTAAATTACTTGTAATCCGAGTAAGAGAGTGGTAGTTTCGTTCTCTCTAATATTGGATTCAAATTTGCTCGGTGAAATATCATTATGTCGAGTATTATGTTCCTTATAGGTTTATTAATAAAATATAATATTTTATCCTATTTAGTTCTTAATATCAATAAAAAAAATTATTTGATTCATTCATTCTATATTCAATTCTACCGAACTCACACAAATTATAATAATTTCAATTTGTTCCAAGTTTTTTTTTTAATAGAAAGAATTTATTTTCATTTTTATTTCCTTATAATTATTATACGATTATCTTCTTCGTGGAGTAAAATTTAAATTATAATCTTATGATAATATGTTTTATAGAGTGACGATTTGCTGTGACCTACATAAAAAATTCAAACGAATGTAATGTAGCTATTTTTGATTTAACAACGTATAACGTGCCTAATAAATAACTAACTAACAAGATGAAAATAAATCTTACAATAAAATCACAGAATATAATATTGGATTTCTTAATATAATAATTTTTATAAGCTAGTACGTTTCAACTTTAAAGGAATGAAGAAAAAAACATAAACTCGCTGTAATTGAGTGTAAATATTAATTTTAATTTTCTGGGAGAGGAAATGGAGAGAAAATTAATATGTATAAGGCTTGAAACGGTCATTGCACTTTCTTAAAATTCGAGCTAAATTTACGAACACATTAATATTTGGGGGAAAATTTTAAATATATGCGAGTTGTTCTTTTTTATAAATTAATGTCGTATCTAGTTACACAGTAAATTTGGAAAACTGAATTCATTTTAGAAGAAAATTGATAAATTTATCAATCAATTTCTTCGAATGTTTTTCAATAGAGTTTCATAAAAATGTAGTATTAGGGTAACATGGAACTAACAGGTGTACCTTTTAAAAGGAATGATGAAAATCGGTACAAAGTTTGCGAAGTTATCGCACTTATAACCTTTTGTTGTAGTTGGTTTAAAATCCAACTACTGTTTTGTTTTTTTTTTACACTGCAAAAGTTTTTTCAGCGAAATTGTGTTTAATTACATTGAAATAATTTTGTTTTTATTAATATTAAGGACTAATTTTGGTAAAAAATATTCTATAGTCTACGTAAGTTACGTAAAAGATATATATATATATATATATATATATATATATATATATATATATATATATATATATATATATATATATATATATATATATATATATATATATATATATATATATATATATATATATATATAGTTATCTATGAAATTTCAATGTAGTAGTATATTTCGTAACTATTTGTAAGGTCATACTAAACATTTTCTACATTACAAATAAAAATGATTTTTAACTTTAAATTTTGTACTGTGATTTAGACACAAATGTTTTTAAAATTATTTATTTGAATGTATATTATAACATATGTTTTATTGAATAGTGAAAAATTAATGGAAGATATGATGATGATGCTTTTATTTTAATTTACGAGGTCAAACTCGTGGCTTATATAACTACTAGTAGTAACAATGCTGAATAAATTAACGTAATTTCCGACTTCGTTTACATGGAGCTTTATTGCAAACTTTGTAAGTTTTTAAGGTTTAAGTCTTGACTAGAGACTGGCCTACTTTATCTATACCTCTAGTACCGATCTGTTGGTCAGTTCTATATAAAAACCAAAAAAATTGTTCGGTTTCAAGCTTCGTAATAAGCTCCAGGGAAAAGAAAGTAGTTAATACATATTCTCTAACTGATATTCCAGGTAACGGTTATATCACGACCGCTGTTCTAAGAGAGATCCTCAGAGAATTAGACGACAAAATTAGTGCTGAAGAATTAGATATGATGATTGAGGAAATTGACTCTGATGGCTCTGGAACAGTTGACTTTGATGGTAAGTATTACATTTAAGATAAATATAAATATTATTGGTATTACACCTAACCTGATAGACGTTCTGTCAAAAGCTACTAATATGGGGGAAAAATTGGATTTTTATGTTTTTCCGGACAATTTTTAAAATTTTCTCTTCTTAGGAACATTGCCCGCACTTATTTATTAATTTGCAATTAAAATTTCAAGCCGCTCTTTCTATTGGAATATTAGATTCAGGAGTATTTAATGTTTAATCTAAGGCCAGGATTATTACCACCGCCATGTTTAATCCTATCTATCAGGCGGAGTGGGTATGGCTTATAATATTAAAATTTGGGCTGGTACCTATATAAACAACCGAATAAATTATAATAGATATTAACGGCTACATTAAGATATTAAGGACGAATTTCATCCCGAATTATTCGATGTCTGTATTATCGCTTAATTTTCAAAAACAAAAGCAAACAGTTCTAAATTATCATTTGAAATGTGCTTCTGTAATGAACTAAAACTAACTTTAAATACAAAGGTAATTCAGATATTACTAAACTTCCATAGATCTTTTAAAATATTGTAAACCCCGGTGTAAAATTAAAATAAACACAACATTTTTTAAAATAAATAAATTTTAATTATTAAAGTAAAGAAAAGAATGAAATTAAAGAATAGATATTAGCTGATTGTAAATTAGACTAAAAAATTAAAGGCGTTCAACAATACACGTAGTCTTTGTAAAACAACGCATATAGAATTATATAAGGTTTCTAGCTAGTCTTCAGTTATATATATTATAAATTCTAGAAATTATTTTCTTATAGTCCACGAGCTGAAATCTACTACTCTTATGTCTTTGACATTGGTTTTGATGGTTGTGTCAGTTAATTTTGATTTCGTAACACTTGGCTAACAATATATCGCGCGGCCTACCTATAAAAGCATTATCAATCATTCAAATTGTATAAACATTTATTTTTTAAATAAGAAAAAAAAAAAATTACGAAAGAGATTTATCAGCAAGAATTGGAGATATATGTCGATCAAATAGGCGACGTTGAAGAAGGGCCAAATTAAAAGTACCCGTAACCGACGAGCGTGTATGACAAGATTGAAATAAAAAAAGAGGTTTGTTTGAATCGAAGCATTTGGCGTTCCATTGTTTCTGCCTACCCTAATGGGAGACAGGCGTATCAAAAGACACGATACTACCGAATCTTTTAATTCTAATAGAATATTTTGAAAATAAAAATGCCCAACGTGTTTTCTTACTTCAAAAGCGTACGTTCTTTGCAAAAGAGTATCTAAAAAAAATAAATATGAACCGAGATTACCGCATTCTTACGCAAATGGAATACAGAATGTATTTTCTAACAACCAGAAATAGCATGGCTAGGAATACGAGCATTCAGTATAGCTCTGCATTATATAATATTAGATATTCAAGTGCTTCATATATTTTTGTATTAATAAAAGTTGTTAAATAATAACTATTGTGAGTATTATAATTATTTATATCGGATTTACTCGTATTGACTATATTTAATATTAGAGTTATAAGAAGAAATGGCTTCTATCGAGTTGGAAACTAGTCGGCCAACCCAGAGTTTAATTAAACATAAATTAATATAAGTAATTCATAATTAATTAAAATAATTATAAATACAACATAATTATGAATTTACATATTACCATTTCTATTATTTTTAAATCAAACCTGTAATTTTATTTCTAAAAATGTAAACAGATATTTAAAAATAGAATCAGTCACTACGCTGTCATACCGTTTTGAAATAACATTTCTCTTTTTAACGTGCTTTCGGAGATATAAAGAACTATCTTTATAGCTCCGAAAGTACGAACATTTATCAAGATATTTATCGTATTTTGGTGTCATTTAAGTCTATGGCACTTGAATTCCTCGTTTGTCATAGAGTCTATAGTATCTCATCAAAATTGAATTTACTAAATCTGCTGTAATACTTTTCAATGCACCGTATCGGATTTTTTAAGATTTTCAAACCCTTTGAAGGAGAGGATTATCATAGCGTATTTGACATTAAAAGGAAAATCGTTACAAACTCATTTCCGTTACAATATCTGTCGATGTAATAATATATAATTATATTACTTTGCATTTATATATTTAACGTTATAATTAAAATAGTCAATTATATAAACAAATATAACATTTTCCCTAGCCGTTTTATTTTATAAGCGACTTTAAAAATGGGTTCTTTGATGATATTTCTTTTGTATGACTGTTACCTTTCATCTTCGTTGATTCTCCATCAACTTTAATGATAATTCATTTTATCTCGCTTTTTTCTTCTTAAATATATTATATAATATTCGAAATTATTTTAATAAATATCAGATCTTAAAATAGTGTATACCGTGAATATTTAATTTTAATAAATGGTATATCGTAAGACTCGTCTTAATTGTGGGAGAGTTATAGACCATATGACGACAGTATACAAAAATATAACCATCATAAAGTGTCAAATATTTATTATAGAGTCGAGTTCGTGTATTACTATTATGCCCACTTGTTAATACGAGTATGTACTTATAGGTACTTATAGCATTAGTTGATTTAAAATTCATATTGGTAAAAATGTATTGTCATTATCAAGCGACTTTTAAAAATGTGGTTCTCAACCCGATGGCATTTTTTTTTTTAATTTGTTATCTCATAATTCTGTCAATTATAAAGTGATTTGGAAAATTCTTTTTTTTTGTCTAAAAGGATATACTTTTAAATAGGTCCGATAGAAGTTTTATCCAAATTAATTAGGTAGTTTAGTTTTTAAATATTTTTTTTTTGGTTTTGCCATAACTAAAGACAGTTTTTTTATGGAACTTATTGATGTTCAAATTAAATATTCAGATGAACACTCAGTGTCTTAACTTGTTATGGAGAGATGAAGTTTCATTATAACAATAATATTTTAAGTCATTTATTATCTAGCACAAAGAACTCGGAGAACGTGGGCGACCTCCTCATTGTAAAGGTCTGCACAGACGATGGACACTTTGTCCGCGGGCAAAATTTCCTTTTCTATGAGAAGTGTAGTCTATTTCAATAGAAATAAAGTAAATGTATATGTTGATGTTCAATAGTACTACAAATGAAATATCGATTAATTTTTCAACCGACCCTAAAAAATGGCGGATGTTCTAATTTCGTTTGTATTTGTTATATTTGTTACCTCAGAATTCAGTCATTTATAAATAAATTTGGAAAATTACTTTTCTTTTGTCTCGATTTTTTGTACCACTAAAGTGGCAAACAAGCATACGGCCCACCATTTATAAATTAATAATAAATAATATACTTTTATTTCATTAATAAATATATAATTACTAGCTTTCACCTGCAAATTCGTGAGCGTGAGCGGTAAAGTTTTCTAACAGGAATAAAAAGGAGCTTATATCTTTTTCTACGTTCTATAATGTACGTATGTACCAAAATTCATAGTGATTGATTAAGTCGTTAAGGCACTAAAAAGTAGCACACAAACAAACTCACCTGTATTATTGCTACTTAAATAATAATTAATATTATAATATATTACAAGCCTTTACCCGTAACTTCCTCCGCGTGACCGCGCGATCTTTTCTATCTCATATAGTATGCGTATACTGAAATTCATACTGATACGCCGTAAAGGAGTTACGAGGTAACAAACAAATAAACTCACTTTCACATTTATAATATAAGTAAGAATTATTGTCTGTAGTAAAAAAAGTTTAACTGTAAAGTTTAACAATAGTATAAATTAATTATTGAATTGTTAATTAATTTATTTAATAAGTAATAAAACAAACACAAATTGGACCTTGAAAAAATACGCACTTATCTATTTAATATAAAATGTTCTAATATTAAGATTTTATAGATGTCGTAATTTATGTTTTATTAATATTACCTAGGAAGAATTTTAAATTTTTTTTCAAATATTTTGTAACTACCTCATTAAATGGTTGATAATCCAACAAAAAGAGGAGAGAACATATCTATCTTAAGTAATATAACTTATTGTTTTTTCTCATTACAGAATTCATGGAGGTGATGACAGGCGGCGATGATTAGGCTTGCTTACAAACATGTTGTGATACTTACGTTCATTCATACATATTCTGTACCCAAGAGAACCCACTTATAATTTAACACCAATGTACCTTCAAATGTGTCATCAACATAATTGAAATTATATAAGTTAATTTATACACTTACTTTAATTAATATAAGACTTATTTATTTCATGTTTTATTTATTCATCCCCGTCTCTTAACTTTTCAGCAACTAAAAATTAAGTAAGTACTCATATTAATTTTTATGAGGACACATTATTAATACATTATAAATAAATAATATACTTTATTTCATTAATAAATATATAATTAATAAATTCACGCCATATCTCACCCTTCAAACCGAAACACAGCCATGCAAACACAAATATATAATTACTAGCCATTAGCTGCAACTTCTTTCGTGCAAGCATGATAAGTTTACTAACTGGAATAAAAAGGGGTCTGTATTTTTCTCCATTTTAACTATATATAGTAAATGTATACCAAAAAGTGGTTAGTTAAGGCGCTGTAAGGTAACAAACGAAAGATATATATATATGAAAATTATAAAATGCATAATATACTTATATCCCAACCAACAAAATTATTTTGACTGACGTTTGAATGACATAGGGTACGTAGTCCGCTCACCATTAAGCGGTCTGCAGATAAAAAATGATCCTATTATTTTTATTTTTATACAAAGAATTTAAACGAATATGTTCTTGTATATTTTGATACATAAACTATACAAGAAAATATCCAAAAATGTATAGAAAGCAAAGGTATAACAAATTAAATGCAAATCCAAATTATAATTTGCGACCTTTATTTACTCCATATGGAAAAAGACACAAAATTATAACGAAACGAATAACAATAATGTCTTCAAGTAGGGACGGAATGATGCCATTTTCTGGTGAAATAAAATCCTTTGAATACATTAAGTGTAATGTGAGCCACGCCTGGTGTAATAAAAGTGTTTATGGCACTCGTTACGCGGTGCGCCGTAATTGTGAGTGAAAGTAATTTGTCATGATAACTCAACAACGGAATTGTATTTTTTGTAATGCATCTTAGAATGACCAAATCTGAGAATAGTAACCGCCGTCTGTAGATTTGAATAGCACCATGAACTTCGCTGAATACTCTCGTGATACCCGTGATACATATTCCTCATGGGTCACTATTTCTGAGCACTGGGATATTATGCTTCCGTAACATGTACGAGTAATTACTTCGGCGTATCCTTGTCCTTTAAACCAAAATACAATTATATAAACACAGCTGCTTTACAGAAGAACCACGAATAGATAGACGTATAATGCATACTACCTTTGTATAAAGCCTACATGTTGTGAATATATAAATGTATCATCATGAAAATGCTGAATATTTAGGGTGAATATGTTCCATTGAATATGTTCCATGGTAGTTCGAAACAATAAAATCGATTCCAAAACGCTACTCTTTATCCCCAATACTTTAAGATCTCGCTGCTGATATTTACAGGCTTTACAATAAAATATGGTTTAATTTTAATGAAACATCAACAAAAATGTCATAGAATCGAGTTACTTAAACATAATTTGTTGCCATTATCTTTAATTGCGAGCAAGTACCTAACGCCTAATTAATTCTGGTGACGAATTGCATTGACGAGTCGTTTGAGTTCGAGATGAATTATGGCATAAGAAAGGAAAAGGTGTGAATAACGTAAAAATCAAGAGTTGTCTGCCCCCATCCGTAAACTAGGGTTGGCAATAATGTCTAGTTCAATGTATGTTGATAAAAAGTGCACTAAAGTCGAATAATTTATTTTTAGATGAATCCAATATATTTGATCAATATACTAGTGAAACATCCAAATTGTAACTCTGTGGGATACGATAAAGAATTAAATTAAATTGAATTTACTATTACACACGATAAGTTGGGTTGCCTATACAAAAATTGTTTGCAAGTAATCGCGCTACCTTCTGAATTATTACTCTGGCTACATAGCGTTATATTTATAAGGCAACACTTATATTGACAGAAACAATATTTGAGGGGAAATATCGAGTGATTAATATTTCGGGATTGTGTATAGAACAGATAAAATTAAAATAATTTTATTTTTAAAATTGCTTAGTTTTATAAATAGTAATACTAAGTTTATTATAACAAATTAAAACCTGATACCTGCAGATTATAGCAGTATGATCTTAGACTATTCAATTCGACTTTGATAATTACAGCAAAATCATTATTATAAGGAGCTAAATTTACAATAGATTTAAGATAGTATTATGTTGAATTTCGTTCCTAATGATTGTAACACAATAGTTTGGTTAAACTATGAAATTAATTTAATTTTAGACATAAGTTAAATAATTGATGTTATCGTGAATATTTTCCCAATATGAAGATGTTTACCACCGCGCTTGCATGAGATGAGTTAAAAGAAAGTCTACAGAAAGAGAAGGTATAGACCTCTAGCACTTTGACTTGTCTATCTCTTTTTATGCAACATAGAATAGCGAACAAGCTGACAGCCAACTGATGAAAAGTGGTAACTATCGCCTATAGACATGAACAATACTATAGACACAATAGAGTAAAATATTTTACCCATGATGCTATTCATGCGTTGCCATTCCTGAGGCTAAGGTGTTATGCTTCTGTACTCTATAATTTCACTTCGCAACGACTTTAGAAATGGAATATAAAGTAGTCACTGTCAATAGAGTGATTATGGAATCTATATATCTAAACCACAATCCTAGTTTCTGGATATTAGAATGCCTTTACAAACACTATTTTATGCCTGTCCTTAGTAACGATAAAAACAATTGCATGCTCTCAATTAAAGTAGATATATAATATATACGTACTTAACTATAACAATAACCTAAGTCTCTCTACGGGATATGGGTCTCTACCTATCCGAGCAAGATATTAGGCTACTAATACGAGTATTATTAGAAAAAAGAAAACAAGTACGAAGTATTATTGTTTTATCTATGACGCCGGCCACATAATTGTTCGGCTCTTCTATTTTTTGCATTGGTGATGCTTTGTTTGATGCTTTGTTTCTTTCGTTTCGTCTTACTTATATGTGGAAGAAACTAATGACATATTATGGTGATATATTTTTCCTTGTGATCTAATATATATTGTATTACTATTTATACCCAAGAATGGCAACACATGAGAGATATGTATATTATGATAAAATAACACAAATACCTTTTAATCATTAAGGGTAATATTATAGTTGTTGTTTCAGTTGCAATTTACGAGTATATTCGATACAAATAAAAAATATAAAAAAATAAAGTATAATAATACAGATAAAAAATAAATGTTAACCATAGAGTAAATATTACCAAAACGAAATTGTATATAATTTAAAAATAGAACAGTAGATGTAGACTATACGTAAATGTTACTTAGTATATGGAGAGGTTGGAAAATAAGTGACAAGACAAGACAATGAGAGTTGTTATAGAAATGAATTTTGTGATGTTCATGTCTATAGATGATGGGTACTACTCTCCATAAGATGGGCCATCAGCTTGTTGAATCAAATAATGTATCAGACCTTAACTGTCCACTGCTGAACATAGCCTTCCTCATAAGGGAGGTTTGTCAGTGGTTGCCACGCTTGACAGGCGGGTTGGCAACCACAGTTTGGCTTTTGATAATGTTTTAAGAGGGACGCTGCTGCCCATCACTCCACCATAAGCTCCCTCAGTCGCCTCTTATGACATCCACGGAAACGGAAGGGGTGGCCTCATCAATTAAATAATTCATTCTAATGGTCCATTAATATTTATTTCTAACAATATTTTTATAGCTATTACTATTAGGAGATTTGCTGCATTTCCACGCTGAATAGCTATGGAGATGCGTTGACCAAAGTATAAGCCAACCTTCTAGTCGCCAGAGGTTTCCATCAGCTGACATGATATCTTTTTAAAAAGACTCATGGCCTCGGGGTGCCACGGATCTAGACATTCTCAACTTCAAACACCGCAAATATATCTTCCAAGGGATGAATATTTACGGTGCTTGATAGTCTCCTGGTTTGTTGCGACGGCACCAGCCCTCTTGGATGTACTTGGAAGGTGAGACGGCACCACCGTATCCACGCAGGTGAAGTCCCATACAAGTGGACGCCTCTCCTTCAAGGTACTAAGGACATCCTGCAGGTCTTTTGCCGTCATCACGCATAAAACCAGGAGATTCTAAAATGGCAGGAAATTAATGATTGATAATTATTAGCATTCTAATTAATTTCAATAGTAGGCATACCAGTAAAAAAAATTAAAAACTCGAAATAAAATCACAGTTATATCAAGTCGCCTGGCTAATAATTACAGCTTTTTATGGGGTAAGATCGGTGCCCAATACTACGACGTTGGTACCATATAACATTAATAAAGTTGTTCTAATAATTGTTTGTTGAAATTCTCTTATCAAAGGAAGCTTATTCCTGGAGCGCAGTCTCTTCAAACATCTAGACTAGACCACACCAGTTACTAACTTACTCTATACCAAGTTTTAATAAAATCGCTTTGATAGTTGAGACGTGAAAACGTAACGAACTACTTCAATTTATAATCTTCAAATATTTATCCGTACTAGCTTTGCCAGCGACTCAGTAGACACAGTAACAGACGATGATACATTTAAGCCTAAATAAACGATTTCTTTTTTATTTGGCCACATATTCCACTGCTGTGACTTTTATATAGCCATAATTTGTTACACTAAACTTAATGAAAATAATGAGCGGCGACGTCCATCTGACAATGAATCTGAATCATCATCATATCAGCCTTAAACTGTCAGTTGCTTAGAATGGCAAACAAGTGAACGGTCCACCTGATGGGAAGTGGTTACCGTCATCTATAGATATGAGCAGTACCATGGACATAACAGAGTACACTGTTTTGCCTATGATACCCCCCATGCGTTGCCATTCCTGAGGACTCAGGTATTATTCCTTTGTGCCCTGTAATTTCACTGCCATATCCCACCCTTCAAACTGAAACACAACCATGCAAACACAACTGCTTCACGGAGAAACACGAATGGGATAGAGGTGCCCAAGCAAATGACTTTTATACAAAGTCTCCCTCTGGTATTATTATTATTAGTTACTTCATTCTCGGCTAATTTGCCGGTTTTCTCAGA